ACTACCACAGTGGTGACCACAGTACAAATCCCAGAGCGGGTACCTGTGCTCATGCCCAGAATCCTGGGAGGAGAAGGGAGAAGGGATTTTGGCATGGGAGGTGATTTCTCCTTTCCTTTTTCTGTCTCTCTGTTTCTCTCCAGCAAGAACATGTGCCCTATAGCAAGCACCTTTAAAAAATAAAAAAGTGCGCACCTGGACTCAGGATCCCAGAGAAGTCTTCTCTGGCCCAGCAGTAACTCGAACAGAGTGATGCTGGATCCACATGGAGGAGCACCGGTTCAGTTTCCCAGGTGCCTGTACACACTGGGTACCCGTCCCGGCCATCCTGACTATCTGGGAAGGCTAGAAGGATTGTGGCTGGAGGTCCTGTTAGGAGTGCTTATCTCTCTCTCATACATACTGGTGAAATGAATTCTTTTTTAAACAGAGGAAGGATGGGCCAGCAGGTAACTTAGTGGTTATGGCACTGGACTCTCACCTAGCTGACTGAGGTTCGAATCCTGGATCCGGCAGCTTGAAACTCACATAGAGTGCGTGTGCATATCTGCCCAAAATCCCAGGAAGAGAATGGAGGAGAAAGAATTACTCCGTGGAGGCTGATTTCTCACTTAACCTTTCTCTTTGTCTCGTGCACTGTACTAGGGCAAAAAAACTTAAAACAAAAAAAGAGAAAGAAAATGTTTATTTAAAAACAGGATCTCAGAGAATGTGTTCTCAGCACCATGCCACTGGACACGGTTGGGTGTATGTGATGGAGATGGGTTTACATCATAGGCTTGATGACTTTCAGAAACCACAGAAGCAGGAATAAGGCCTGCAGTTATTCAGGAAAGAGTTACTATAAGAGGTACACGCCAGGTCTCGACATTAAGAGAGTATGATTGAAGATAAAAATTATTTTAAAACCCAGCTTTTAAGATGCAATCTACATGTAATCTCATACTAAACAAATTCATCCATTTTCTAGCCATTTTATTGTAGGTGAAAAATTTAACCTTTGGGCTTCAGCTTCTTTACCTACAGAATGAGGGCAGTAATATGAGTGTCTACCTATCACGGTAAGGATTAGGGTGTTAACACATACATAAAGCATTTGCAGCAGTAGTGTTCTGCCACACATAGGGAGGTTTTCCATGAATGCGAAATACCGCTACTGTAGGTTGGCGATGTAGTTATCGTTATTTTTAGAGTGCCGTAATTAAAAGCCCCAGGTCAGAGTGCACACAGCCTGCCTGCACTGAGCTGTGGCTCTGCTATTTCCATTTCCTCATCCATAAAATGAGGTAAAGCAATAATGCCTATGTGTTAGGGTTGCTGTGAAGGTTAAAGAAAATAGTGCTCTAGTGTGATATTTTCTGCAGGGCCAGACACGTACGAAAGACCCAGTGATGGTGAGAATGCTGGTGGCACTGTTGATGATGAGGTTGTGGACATGAGGGGGGAGCCTAGGAGACTGCTGTGGTAAACCAGTCATCTGATGACATTGGGATTAGATTGTGTCCCTGAGAGAAAGGACAGGTCGGGGCTGCTTACTGGAGACCTACTGTGTGTACTCGGTAATGACCATGAGCAGGGAGAAGGAAGAACAGAGCTGGATTTGGAAGGGTGTGGCCCAAGAATATTGGCAGAAGAGAAGAGGATTTGGAAGAATAACGTAGGCAGAAGGTTTTAGGGGGTTGTTTTTTTGTCACACTAAGTTTCAGAAGTCTGGCTCGTATCCACTTGGAGTTTGTCACAGTGAGGGCTAGAAAGAATTTGCATTCTGATTCAGAATGGGGAACTTATTTTTGCTTTGGCAGTTTACTGTGATAGGTGGTGCTAGTGCTGTATTTTCAATCACACAGGAGAAAAATGCCCCTTGGAATTACACCTTATTAAATCATTGGAAGAAAACAAAATCAAGAAGAAGGTACAAATGTGAGAGTTGAAAGATCTGAGTTTCGTATTTACTTAACTGGAATAAGGGACTGTTAAGATATATGTCTCGGGAACCAGCAGTTAGCGTAATGGCTATGTCGCTGGACTCCCACGTAGTCGACCGCGGTTCGTGTCCCGGACCAGGTGGCTTAAAAAAAAACTCACGCCGGGCGCGTGTGCGTGCGTGCCCAAGATCCCGAGAGGAGAATGGAGGAGAAGGG